AACTACACCTCCTCTCACCCACCCTCCTGCAAAAATGTTTCCCATACTCTCAATTCCTCTGCCTCTGCCGCAACTGCTCCCAAGATGAGCATTCTACTCTAGGACATATATCCTGCTACTTTAGTGACCATAATTTCCCCTCCTCTGTAATTAAGGACGCCCTCAAGCGCATCTCCTCCATTTCCCACACTCCTGTCCTCAAACCCCCTGCCCCCAACAACAAGGTTAGAGTCCCCTTAGTCCTCACGTACCACCCCACCAACCTCCAAATCCAACTCATCATCCTGCAACATTCCCGCCACCTACAATCAAGCCCACCACCAAAAAGATATTTCCCTCCCCACCTCTATCCGCTTTCTGCGGGGACAGTTCATTCCGCAACTCTGTTATCAGCTCCACACTCCCCACCAATTTCTCCACCACGCCCGGTACCTTTCACTGCAACCGCAAGAGGTGCAACACCTGAACTGGACTTCAAACAGGCACCTACAACTAACTGGCTTTATTATTGAAAAACGCGGCAAGTAGAGCTTATGAGTTACAGGGATTCCAACAGAAGTGGACACCCTTGCCAGGACAACTGACCACTTGAGCACAGCCAATTGCAGAGCCTCATTCAGGACATAACCAGAACAGGGGGACTCTCAGTCAGCCCACAGCAAAACCCCCAAAACAAAGCCAAGCCTCAGCCAAACTGTTTAAATTTTTTCGAGGATCTGGGCCAGCAGGCCATTGAAGGAGCTGCCAGTATGCGGACTTGTGACACCAAAAGAGTCTCACTGGGCCTGAACTGAGTAAGAGGATTCGTAGGCCAGGATCTAGGAGAGTGCACACCCTGGTAAGTCCACCTACAGCTGGTTTGGAAGAGTTAAATTGCTTAACAACATCCAAATCAGAACCAATCAAAATAAACGCCTGGTTAAATGGTCACCAGGTTCTAATGGAGGTTGTATCAGTGTATCAGTGATTGTAGAAACAGTCTTTACCAAAATTTGGTCTGGACTCCAACCCTTAAGTTTGCACAAAACCTTGGCCAGGCTGAGAACCTACACCAGGGAACGCGTACAGATTCAGGGTGCAACTTTGGTTCCAGTCTCGTATGAGAAACAGCTGCTTCAGTTACCACTGGCTGTAGTAAAAGGCTTGGGCCCAAGCTTGATGGGATAAAATTGATTGAGCAAAATTCAACTTGGCTCAACATTTTTCAATTAGAAAACAGCTGTCTGAGTGAAGTCCTAATTAAATACCCGGAGGTTTTTCAGGAAAGTCTAGGGACCAACAAAGGGGCCAAGACCACCCTGCATGTTGACCAAGAAGGAATTCCATGATTCTGCAAGGCCCACTCAGTGCCATTTGCCTTATGTGCAAAAGTAGAGGGAGAAATCAGGAGGCTGGAAAGCAAAAGAATTGCCAGGTACAGTTTGTGGAATTGGCAGCACCAGTCGTGCTGATTGTGAAGCCTGATGGGTGGGTTTGCCTTTATGGGAATTTCAAACACACAATGAACCGCTTCTTGCTGCTGGATAATTACCCTATCCCTCCCATAGAGGAGCTGTCCTTCACAAAGCTGGACATGTGCTATGTGTACCTGCAGTTGCATTTAGATGAGGATTCCCAGCCGTATGCTACAATTAATACCCATAAGGGTTTGTACCGCTATATGATACTGCCACTTAGTGTATCATCAGCCTTTGCCATTTTCCAACACATGATGGAGAACACTTCACAAGGTCTACCCCAGGTCGCCATTTATCTGGACGATAATAACTGGGAAGACGAATAAAGAGCATTTGGAGAACTTGGACACAGTGCTCCAAAGCAGGTGTACACCTTAGGAGGGAAAAATGTGTGTTCCAGACACACCCCAAGTGACCTACTTGAGCTACAGAGTCAACAAAGACAAGGTTACACCCATTGGAAGATAAAGTGAAGGCAATCAAAGGGGCCCCAGCTCCCCTGTGTGTATCGGAGCTTAGGTCTTTCTTTGGGCTGGTGAATTATTACAGAAAATTTATAGGTAACCTGCCTTTCATCCTGACACCCTTACATTTGCTATTGAAAAAGGGTCAGCCTTGGAAATGGTCTTGGAGCTAAGACGTAGCCTTTAGAGAAGTGAAGAAGCAGATATCGTCTAAGGTGTTGGCACACCACGATCCCAAGCCAGATCTGGTGCTGGCATGCAATGCCTCCCCATTCCGTATTGGGGTAGGTTTGGCTCACCAGTGGCCCAGCAGAGCAGAACACCCAATAGCGTATGCTTCCCAGACTTTGGCTGATGCCAAACCAAGGAATAGGAGGAAGGTTTTCTGGTCATCTTTGGTGTGAGAAAGTTCCACCAATACTGAGGGGTACACACAAAGTTAATGGCAGTTGTCTTTGCCCCAGGATGGGGGATTTCAAGACTTGGCAGGCACATTTTTAAGGTGAGAGGAGAGAGATTTAAAAAAGACATCTGGGGTAAATTTTTTAACACGGAGTGTGGTTCGTGCGTGGAATGAACCTTCAGAGGAAGTGGTGGATGCGGGTAAAATTACAATGTTTAAAAGATATTTGGATAAGTACATGAATACGAAAGGTTAGGAGGGATATGGGCTAGGAGCAGGCAGATGGGACTGGTTTAGTTTGGGATTATGGTCTGGTTGAACTGAAGGGTCTGTTTCCGTGCTGTATGACCCTATGACTTTATTACACCTTTATGGATGCAAATTTGTAATAGTAACAGACAACAAAGCCCTGCTAGGGCTACTTAACGAGAACAGGACCGTGACACCCAGAGTTTCAGGTCAAATTAAGCAATGGGCTCTTGTTCTGAGTGCGTACAAATACAAGTTGGAACACCCTCCCAGAGGCCAAGTGGCAGATGTGGATGCATACAGCCGCCTCCCACTGGCAGATACACCACCGGTGCTGCCACCACTAGGAGAGTCCTTTCTGCTTTTAAACTTTCTTGACACCCTCACAGTCACCGCTGACAATATCAGACTGTGAACACAAAAGGATCCCGTCCTGGCAAAATTAAAACAGCTGGCAGAGAGAGGGGAATCAAAAGGGCGATCACAACCAGAATAGAAACCTTTCTGGACCTGGTGACACCAGATCACAGTAGAGGACAGCATATTACTATGGGGAGCAAGAGTGATTATCCTGAGCAAAGGTCGCTGTTAGATACTGGCTGAACTCCACCAGGGTCATCCAAGGATTTCCAAAATGAAGATGTTGGCGAGAAGTTATGTCTCGTGGCCAGGATTGGATGCAGGCACAGGTACGTTGGTGGAGCAGTGCCCAAAGTGCCAAGCAGGACAAAAATTACTGCCAGCAGATCCCCACATTCATGGGAATGGCTAGGTAAACCCTAGATTCGGTTACACTTTGAATATGCTGGTCCTTTCATGGGCTCAATGTTTTTAGTTATTGTGGCTGCCCATTCAAAGTGGTTGGACATGTACAGAGTTCATTCGTCAAACACGGGGAAGACGAATGAATAGGTGCGAGCATCTTTTGCAATACACAGACTTCCGGAAGTATTGGTCATGGACAATGGGCCATCATTTACCAGCAGGAAATTTGAGTATTTCCCAAAGTCAAATGGCATTCAGCATGTAAGGACAGCTCCATACCATCCATCGTCCAATGGACTGGCAGAAAGAACAGTCTAAACTTTGAAGGCAGGCTTAAAGAAACAGCTTCACTCAATACCAAACTGTCCCAGTTCCTGTTTGATTATAGGACGACGCCACAAGTAACTACGGGGTTAGCTCCAGCAGAGTTGCTAAAGGTTAGAAGACTCCACACCAGGTTTTACCTGATCTTCCCAGATCTGGAGGGTGACAAGGCATCAGGAATGCCATTTCTGGATATGAGACTCCTTTAAGCAAGAGAGACAGTTTGCTTCAGGGAACAAAGTTTGCTGGCAAAGCCACAGGAATGGCCTTGCATGAGTAAGAGGCATAGTTGACTTGAGGTCAGGTCCCATGACCCACAAAGTTCAGGTAGGAGAGGCGGTCCTGTACAAGTACATGAACCACATGAAAGCTGCAACATCACAAAGAGGGCAGGAACAAAACATACCAGGCCCCTCAGCAACAGCCAGCAAGGGTGTCAGAACCTGTGCATTTCTCCCCCTCCGTCTAGCGTGAAAGAAACCTCTGAGGATGAGGTGGACACGTAAATGTCGCAGCCTCAATGCCATTACCACCTGAAGATGATGAATTTCTACAAAGACCCACTGGGCACAAGAGGTGTGCTACAGTTCAGTACACACTGCCAGCATCTAAGGCAGAATCAGAGGAACCAGAACTGGTGCGAAAATGTCCCAGGAGAAGCCACAGGAAAAAGAACGGGCCTATGTCCCAGGACTTAGAGGGGGAGGGATGTAGTGATCAATACAAGGTCAGCCAGATGGACCTCACAAAATATGAGTTCCCGGATTGGGGCTGTTAACGGCACCCAATCAGGGAGCCCTGGCTGACAGATATAAACAGGAGTGTCAAAGATTCTGTTCACGCTAGAAGCTGGCTCTTGTGCTAGCTGGATCAGTGTCATGGACTATGCACATGTAAATAAAGGGTGACTCGGTGACAGGATACCAGCCTTTGTGAAGTTGGTGTTTTACACAATTCAGGCTCATGGTGTATTGTCTCATTTTTGGGACACCTTATCTGCTCTCAGCAGATTTCTTGCAACCACCTGACCAATGGACAACTAGAAAATAGTAAACCATCATTAACAGAGGTGTTATTATTAATGAAGAGCACAACTAAACTTTCAACTGTACTCAAAGAAAATGGATTAACTTCTGTAAACATTAATTCACAGGTCCAGCTGAACTATTTGGTTCAATTTTCAAAACAATCACTTTTATCATGGTTCCCCAGTTAAATGAACTCTTTTATGACAAATAACCCTTGAAGTCAGATACAACCTGACTAAAATTCTGCACGAAATAATTGACGAAGCATAGAAATCTGAACTGACAGAATGACTGACAGATTCTAGCTCACCAGCCAAGTGTTCAAGGGTCACATCGACTGGTCTAAAGTGCATTCGTACTGTCGCAAAATCGAAACAGTCACAGTCCGCAGTGCTCTGAGGAAAAGGAAAGTAACATAAAAAGTACGGAAAGCGTCCTGGAAATAAACAGTAGCACGGGAAGTCTTGCAAAGCGGCACTACAGCAAGACAAATCCACCCACAATTCGTGTTGTCCTTGGCTAAGCAATCCTCCCTTATAGTTACACTTTAAAATGGGCACACAGTTACCAGCCTCTGCTGTGTACATCCAGATTGCATGTTCGCTGACAAGATAGTTTTAACCTTGCATGTGTCCGCCCCCTCTCCACTGTAACTCAGTACTTTCCTGTTTGTTTAGCTAATATTTTGCTTCTTTTAGTAAAAGGGAATGAAAACACCCTGTGGATACAGTTGATCCTCGTGTTCGAACACACAACGCCCTAGAAAAAACACACAAAGTGGCAAGATTCCTACACTGCACATTACAAGAAAAGTTCTACAAAAGTTACAAAACAGAGCTCAAGTTTAGAACGAAATGAAGATCACGTACCTTCAACTGACGTCTCTTTGCTATCGAACTGCACCAAGTATTTTTCCGGAAGCGATTTCTTGCTAGACATGACGTTCCAATTATTTTTTCCGATAGACCTATCAGGACGAGAGATTGAATGAAACCGAATGAACAAAAACGCTAGGACATGCAGGTCAAACAATTTATAAAACCTACCTCTGAAAAGTCAGGATGGAAGTGAAGCCCTCGTGAACCTTCAACTAGAGTTGAACACATTCTAAAGAAGTGTTCTTTAAAGAAAGAACCTTCTAAAAACATTCTGAAGAAGGGTCTCTGGAACCCAAACTCTGATTTCCCTCCACAAATACTGCCACACCGCATAGAGATACACAGCATGGAAACATACCCTTTGGTCCAACTTGTCCATGCTGACCAGATATCCTAAATAAATCTAGTCCCATATGCCAGCATTTGGCCCACATATCTCTAAACCTTTCCTATTCATATACCCATCCAAATGCCTTTTAAATGTTGTCATTGTACCAGTCTCCACTACTTCCTCTGGCAGCTCATTCCATATACCAACCACCCTCTGCATGAAAAAGTTGCCCCTTAGGTCCCTTTTATATCTTTCCCCTCTCACCTTAAACCTATGTCCTCTAGTTTTGGACTTCCTCACCAAGGGGAAAAGACCTTGTCTATTTACCCAACACTTTCCCCTCATGATTTTATAAACCTCTATAAAGTCACCCCTCAGCCTCCAATGACTCAGCCTATTCAGCCTCTTCCTATAGCTCAAACCCTCCAAACCAGGCAACATCCTTGTAAATCTTTCTAGAAACTAGAACCCTTTCTAGTTTCACAACATCCTTCCTATAGCAGGGAGACCAGAATTGTGCACAGTATTCCAATAGTGGCCTAACCAATGTTCTGCACAACCGCAACATAACCTTCCAACTCCAACACTCAATGTACTGTCCAATAAAGGCAAGTGTACCAAATGCCTTCTTCACTATCCTATCTATCTGCAACTTCACTTTCAAACTTTCTTTGTTCAGCAACTCTGTACAGGACCTTACCATCATTTGTCATTCCAAAATGCAGCACCCCACATTTATATAAATTAAACTCCATCTGCCACTCCTTGGCCCATTGGCCATTGTACTCTGAGGTAACCTTCTTCGCTGTCCACTACACCTTCAATTTTGGTGTCATCTGCAAACTTACTAACCATACCTCCTATGTTCACATTCAAATCATTTATGTAAATGACAAAAAGGAGTGGCCCCAGCACCAATCCTTTTGGCAACCACTGATCACAAGCCTCCAGTCTGAAAAGCAATCCTCCACCTCCAGCCTCTGTCTTTTACCTTAGAGCCAGTTCTGTATCCAAATGGCTTGCTCCCCCGGTGTTCCATGTGATCTAACCTTGCTAACCAGTCTACTTCTGCAGCCTCGTCTTGTGATAGAGTCAGAGTTAACCCCAACCCTTTCAGGGGCTGCAAGAAGAAAGAAGCCCACGTGAGACTGCAGTACATCCAATGGCACAATGTGTGTAATTTCTCATTACATATTAGAATTAGAATTAGGTTTATTGTAACATGTACTCCAGTACAGGGATACAGGAGTACAGTGAAAAGTGTGCAAAGTCACCATTCTCTGGCGCCACCTTAATAGCAAGGTACCTAGGCACAATATCTGAGATATAACGTAGAAATTAAAGAAATGAAGTTAAAAGTTCAGCATTTCAGTCCTTCTTAAGTGCTTAGCCATGGCCCTGGATCTGGGCTCTTCCATCCTGACACAGGGACCATCACCAGCATGAGTCCCTTCACCACACCACTACTGCAGAATAGTATCACCATTCTTCAGCGCCATCTTGCCTCCACTGACAACATCACCGCTATGAGACTGCACTGGGCCAATCATATCAGAACTAACTGTTCATACTATATCTCTCCCCAGGTCTCTAATTCTACACATTAGGGGTACCCATTGTACTACACATTTACATACTTCAACTGAACGATTACAGAGTTTTTCAGACTAATCAGGTATAGATATAGCTATATAGAAGGGATGACACATGGCTGTAGGCATTGGAAAGGATTGAGACAGACCCAACTGAAAATCAAGATCTGTTTAAAAACATACACAAGGAGGATATGATGACTATAATGTATAAAACTGAACCTTTTTAAAAAATTTATTGCATTAGCAGTTGAGTGAAAACCTATTTGAAATCACAATGGGAATGGATCACTAATGCATGTAGGGCAGAAACTAGGATAATGTTTTAAAGAAATAATCACAGTGAACAGAGTGGAGAACTATTTTGTAGGCCAAGATTTTCTGATGGCCAAGCAGTCATTATTCAAGCATAGATGGAAGTTATGCATGGGGACCCTGTGGAATTCCCATTGTAGCAGACTCTGAAGGAATAGCCTGGGAAATTGAACATTGAGCTGGGCAATTTCCCAACACTTGGAAACCTCAAATTCTCCATTTAAGCTGGAGAATTCAGAGGATTCCAGTGAAAGTCAGTAAATAGTTATTCAGGAAACTTTAGACTATTAAATATATACTTTAACTCCTGAGTAACTATTCAACTGACTTCATACTTACCTCACATGCCCCAGCTATACCTTCCCCAGACTCTGATTCGACTGAGTCTTTCTGCTCCCCACCCCCCCACCCCACTGCTAGACCCGATTTCTCCCACCTACCCCAACCAACCCTCATTACTCACGTGGCCACATTGCCATTTTGCACTCTGGCACCCTAACTATTTTTTAATGTCCTGACTTGGCATCTTACTCAGCTAGGCATCTACCACCCTACCAATCTAGCATCTTATCCGCCCAGCACCTGAAAATCACACTTCCCTTATGTACATACCATTTGACAGCAGCTGTTGAAATGGGTGTCAGAAATTAGAAGGCATAGGTATAATGTGAGAGGGGAAAGATTCAAGAAGGACCGAAGGGGCAGCTTTTTCATGCAGAACTTGATGCATGTATGGAATGAGCTGCCAGAGGAAGTGGTGGAGGCTGGTACAGTTACAACATTTAAAAGGCATCTGGATGGGTCTATGAATAGGAAGAGTTTGGGGGATACGGGCCAAATGCTGGCAAACGGGACTAGATTTATCTAGGATATCTGGTCGGCATTGACGAGTTGGACCAAAGGGTCTGTTTCCATGCTGTACATCTCTATGACTCTAAATAGTGATGTTTTTCTTAACGCAGTGGATTCTGTAATTACTTTGTACCAGCACAAGATCAAGAATGTTATATGGTGCAGCAAATGAAAGAACAATATGGAAAATTCACCGCCTTTACTGGAAAATGTCGAGCATGATGCAAGTCCTAATCAGGCAGAAGCATCACTGAATTGACAGCTTTATCAGATAACATACCACACCAGTTCTTCACTGCAAAGCCAAGCAGTGAGCTGGTCAATATGTCATTGTATAAGATGGGTGGCTGTACAGATATTATCTTAGTCATGCAATGAATTGACAAAGAAAATACTACAGACGAGGAAGTAACAAAAGTAACCAATGAATACTTCAATCTGCAAAAACACTCAGCATCAAGGCCAAACGATTGCAACCTCTGTCAATGATCTGCACAGACTTGCAAAGAACTATGACGAGTACATAAAAAGAACTAATTCAGGACTGAATTGTTGTCAGAGACTTAGATCTAGCACTGTCTGGCCACTTGCAGTTGAGGAGTGACTTAAGATACACAAACACAATTCAACCCATCAGACAAACTGAGATTAGAAAGCAAAATGAATCAGTGATTCGGTGCAACAGAGGACCATATCCCAAAAATGACCAACTCAGAGGAATGTGCTAAGTTTAGAAGCAGAGAGATGGCTGTTTAAAACAGGGGAGGTAGGAAAAGCATTTATCAATGATCCCATCTGGGTGTTATTGGCATGGTGGAAAAATTGCCCTGCAAAAGATTTTGAATGCCATCTTTGCAAAAAGAGGAGTTACTTCCCAGATTCTCCCTTAAAGATATACTTGAACAAAAATCTTCACTTAGTTGAAACCCACAGACTTGAGAATGATCTCTTGAGCACAACAACTGATATAGTCAGTAGCATTAGCAGGGCTTGATAACCAATACTAAAACGAATGTTTGCATCAATAGATGTTTACTTTATCATCTATTAATTTGGGAGACCAATGTTCAGGACGGGACTTCCCAAAGTGGGGAGAAACAAGAAGCCTTACAGACTGAGCCAAAGGTGGTGTCTTCAAAAAGTAGCAGGTCTATGAAATGACATTAAGGTGCCTCTGCGCAGGAACATCACATATCGAGCAAAAACTTATTGGAGTTTTGATATCCTAGAGGGAAAGGAGACATTTTTTTACTTTAGACCAGTGATTCCCAAAACCTTTCCAAATGTGACCCCCACCCAAAGCAAAGAAAATTGTTGTGACCACTTCACTCCTCCCCCCAGCAAAACCCGAGGGTTGGGGCAGTTGGTATGGAGTTGGGGAAAGAGACTTGCAAGAGTAAGGGAAGATTGCCTGTTAAAGCAGGGATCTCTCTGTTAGAGTAGGAGCGTAGCGGTTATAATTTGGTCAGAGCTCCATGGCAGTCATTGGAATTTCAGCTCATGATCCCACTTGGAATCCTGACCCTCCACTTTGGGAATCCAGAGGTAAAGCAGTTTCACTTTTTTCTGACACTGAACCATGACTGGAAGAAAGTTCTGTTCAGTCATTAGACATAAAGCTACATGGGCCAAGGAGTACAAAACACAAGGTCACAGCACATCGGAATGCAACTCTCAAATTTAGAGAGAAAAAACATACACTGAGTCCTCATAAGTGATGCAAAATCAGAGCTGTTTGTTCCTAAGCAGGAAGGCTAGTGTCATCTTTGCAAGTTAAAGGGCCACTTCTAGGCTTCTACCTTGAACAAAAATCTTTGCTTATTTGACTTGATTTGTTTGGTAGAACAGGAAAGCTAAGACGGTCAGCCGAAAAACCTCAAAGATCAATTTCTTACAACCGTTTACAGGAATAAGAAGCTAAAGACAGCATACCATATCACTCTATATCAGCAAAGAAGACCAGAAAAATTTCTCATTCACTCTTGCTGAAAATAAAGGA